CGCAGCCCCCCGCGCTGCCCGCAGCCCCCCGGCGGGGCTCAGCGCAATTAGCCGCCCCGTGAGCAGGTGCCCTGCCATGGCCCCGCCGCCCTCCCTAACGCTTTAGCTCCTCGGGATGGTCGTTCTCGTTTCTCCCAGTCGAGTCTGGTAGGCACAGGGCGCAGCTCGGAGCGGGGGCTGTGCCTCCTTCCCCGCAGCCCCAACATGCCATCCAAAGAGTCCTGGCCAGGGCACAAAGCCAATAGGTCTGCGGTGCACAACTCGAGGCGGGAGAGCCGTCAACAAGATCTATTGCTGGCAGCCTTGGGGATGAAACTGGGTACTCGGAAGTCGTCTGTGACAATCTGGCAACCTCTTAAACTCTTTGCTTATTCGCAGCTGACATCACTTGTCAGAAGAGCAACTCTGAAAGAAAATGAGCATATTCCAAAATACGAGAAGATTCACAACTTCAAGGTAAGAAATAATGCTTATTTCTTTTTAAAGCACAGGGGTATAGTTTTTATTTTAAAATGGGTCCAGTGTTGCAAGGAAATAATATCTATGCAGACTATGACTTTCTGGGAACTTACATGCTTCAGTTGCATCTCATTGCTCATTTAATCAATTAGATATCTTCAAGACATAGCACTAGAAGAACAAGGGGTTTGTTGTTAACTGCTTGTGTGTGTGAACTCGTTTCAGTAATATCCACCTTACCTAGCTTATCTTTTTATTTAGAATTGTTTTACACCGACAGAGATGTGAAAGGTGAGAAAAACTGGCAAAGTTTTCTTTCAATTCAAATGGATATAGTTTCGTTGTACTTAGAATGGTATGATGCCTAAAAATCTTTTAGATCTGCGATTAGAGGATTAAACTGATTTCACCTCAGTTTGTTGCTGGTAAATAGCTTTGGAGGTAAGAAGCATGTTCTGCTGCATCTGGATTGAGCAGATGGTCTGCATTTCCCTAAGTTTTGGGCTTTTCTCCTGTGTTAATGAATTGAGTGTGTTGGAAGCAGCATGGCTTATACCATGGGGCTGTTGGAGCTGCTGGCATTACAATTCCCTCGTGTTTTAATAAAATTTAGTTAGCCTTCTGTGTAGCTTCTAATTATTGTTTCACGTATTTTTAATAAATTACGGTCTTTGATAAGAGAGGCACATGTCAATGCAGCATATGCATGTTTTGTGTCTGTAAGAACTGTCCAGTCAGGATTTAGTAATTTAACCTATTGGCAGTCAGTTGCATTGCTTGATAGGCAGCCTTTATTTTTAGGACTAGGTGAATTGATGTTATACTGAATTCCTGTAGATGACAGTACAAACTTCATATACAGCAACTGGAGCCCAGATTTTATCTTTAATGTGTGGGGTTTTCCCCCAAGTACCTTTTGCTTTTATTTTCCTTAGGAGGAGGAGAATTCATTAATATGATGCAAGCACCTGATGATGCAAACAGCTGTCAATTGCCATTCATTTTCAGTTTTGATTTCCATCACACACGTATGCATGTGTCAATGTACACAGGAGTGCATAGGTTTTATATACCTATCGCCCATACCATTTTATTTAAAATACCTTTTGGAGTTTTTGAGTTCAGATAATCATTAAAATTGGAAACTTTATATAATCAGGATGTTGTGTTTTACTTGAATTCTTCAATAAAGCACAAATTTGAAAACCATGTAAAAAATGTGATATAAAAAAGTGTTTAATATGGATGCTTGGCATAAAATTATCCTCCTGGCTGTCAGTTAAGTGCAGAGCATTTTTTTCATAGGCTCCTGGAGTTTTCTAGAGATTGGAAATGACTTGCAACTTTCATTTGAGTTTGAAGATAATTCTTGAAGATAACATATTTCCATATACTACAGTATATGTAGGATAATACATCTTTAATTTTGAGCACATCTGTATTTCTTAGTTGCTTTCCTTTAACAGGCTGAAACACATCTGTTTTGAAAATAATCTGATAACCTGATTTTCATTCATTTGTGTTTGTTTATTTGTTTTTCTTCGAGAAACTGTTTCTGGAAAGTTTGGAAGCTGTGAGTTTTCCAGTCTATTTTCAAAAACAAACTGTGCTCCTGGTCCAAGGTCATAGCTACAGCACAAACCTTGCATACAGATTGTTTTCTTTATAATAATTGCACTGTAGATCCTCTATACATACAGTTGCTAGGAAAAAAATACCTTGAGAGGCAACTCAAGTCAGTGAAATGAAGTCACCTGCGACAGATAATTTTAGCTATAAAAAAGTGGAAAGCTTTGCCCTTAAAAAGTGTGCAGCACCCAATCTACCTGCTGAAGGAGTGCTGCTGCTGTTCACAAGTTCTAAATGTGGCCACTGTCCCTTTTTTTAAAAAAAACAAACTATAAACCTTTTATAATTATTGTGTTATGGATCTGAAGTGAATGGCCATCATTAGCTGATGTGCTTCTCTCCTTTATAATTCCTTATATCTCTCAATTTTCTTCTCACATGTACAGACGTCATCATTTAAAAGGTCCACAGAAGTCTCCTAGGTTGCCTGCCAAGCAGCAAATGTGCCACCCATGTGGGAGGAAGGAAATGTCAGTCCCAGGGTTTTGTAGCTAGACTTCTGAAACGAAACAAGAAAAAACAACCCAGAAATGAAATTAATGTACATAGTTCAGCTAATCCTCAGTGACTGCCCTCCCCAGGGGCTCCACCAGCAAAAGGAGGATGTAGGCTGCTTTGTACCCCTGCGGCTGATCTCATGGTTACTGAGAGGTTACATGGCAGGAGGCAACAGAGCGGGACCCCTGACCCTTCAGTGCCTGCTTCTTTGATCAGGCACGTGGGTAATCTCAGAAATGAAGGGGTCTCAGAAATCCTCTTGTACTGGAAATGCTGTAACATCCCAGCAGAGTGATGGAGAAGTGGAGAATCATTAATGCACAGCAACTAGCAGTGTTGTCTTGGAGAAGGGAAGAAGACAGCAGCTGCTGCTCCGGAGGCAGGCTGGGGTGAACAGAGAGCCTGAGCAGCTTGGCCACAGGTTGGGAGACCTCAGTTCTCCTTCCACCCCTCCACTTCCTGTCTCTGTGGAGTGGGTAGGTGGGAACACAGGTGGAATTTAGCCCCTCAGACAAGTGTGTGTGTGCGATGGATACGGTTTATTCTTCTACCCAATGTAGGCAAACAATAGCATCTTCTATGTGGATGCTCTGAGAGATCTGGTGGGTCCTCTTTGAGGTGCTGACAAGGAGCATAGCTGAAGCCAGTGGTGTTACTTTCTTACAAAAACAAGGACAAAGTTCTGTAAGATTTCACAGAAGTTGACAGAGTAGATTTGTACCTAACTGTTCCCATAAATTTCTTCTACAGTTGGACTCTACCAATAAGAATCCTTTTTCCTGTCCTTTAGGAAACTCCGACTTGCTTATCTTGTCTCCAAAATGCAGCAACTGTGATAGCTTGTAAATTAAAATACAATTTCTTACCTAGCTGATACCTGATCCTTTGAATAGTTTTAAGGGAAGGAAGCAACTGGGCACCTCCTGGGCAGGCAGATGAAGTAGGAGCTTCAGGCAGCAGCAGGAACCTCAAATTTGAGGGGAAAAAGGAGCCTGTGATAAGGTGCCATATGGATTGAAACATTCCAGGTTGGTTATGCAGAGGAGGACTGGGGGAAGCTCTGAGTCAGGATGTGTGAGGTGGGCTTTAGGTCAAAGCAGGGCAATATAGCAGGGCAATCCAAGTTGGTTTTAAGGTTACCTCATTCTCTATGGTGAAGCAATTTTTATTAGAGTACTGAACGCACAGGCTTCCCCTAGCTCAGTGCTCTGGACTTGCCCTCCCTGTGTGTCCTCATCTTTCTATCTTCTACCTACATCTCATAGTTTTTTGCTGTTAGGAAAAAAGATACACCTAATGAGGTACCTTTTGACCTGAGTCCATCCCTACCTGACCTAGAACACCTTCTACACCTCCTCCCCACCTGGTGCTGTGCTTTGGAGATGGACACTGACTTTGTTCCTTTGCCTGCTGTTTATATGGGGTTGGAGAACACAGTAAAAGTAAGCTTGTAAAATGCTAATGGCAAGGAGAGCTGTCTTGGAAGAGGAGCATTGGCTGGGAGTTGTGGGATGGTAGCTCAAAAGGAGGAGGAAAGGGAAAATTTGATATTAACAGCAAGAGATCTTCTGGGTCATGAAACTTGTTAGTCAGTGCAGTAACCTCTCCTTCACTTGACAAATTTAAAATAGGTCTGGACAAACCACTTTAAAGGTCTTCACTCCCCTCCAGCTTGTGTGACTCATAGGCCCTGGGGATCTTATCTCCCTTGGCTGGTTATGGGTATTTCTTCAGGCACCTCTGGCTCCTGCGCTCGGCAGGTGTTTTGTAACTGCCCAGAGTCCAGGGCATAAAGCCACCCTTCTACCCAGGTGAGTGGTGCCATGCTTCCCTGCCTGTCAGAGCTGGGCTGGAATCTGTGTTTCCATGCATCATTTTCCCTAGTATATCATCTCCTTTCTCTCTTGCTCTTCACAAAATAGATGTGTCTCTAGTAGATTATTTTTTGCTATCTTTCTGTGCAGTAGTTGCTCCTGTCATGCTGTTTCTTAGTCGCTGTCTTACTAATGCCTGAGACAGCAGAGTCAGTTAGTTGTAATAAATAACAGTTGCAAGGCTGCTTGGTGAATAGTTGAACATCTAGAACATAATTCCCTTTCAAGCCAACAATTCTTCCAGGGAGAAGAGATGTTTTTCCATGGTCACTTAAGCCAAGTCAGCAGAGATGCTGATGAGTTGTTTGCTGCGATTCCTCATCTCCCGCCTCAAATGAAGAAACACTCTGGCTTTCTCTTTGAGGATGACCCATTTGAAAGGCTGAATGGGGAGCACGAGAGCAGACACAACGTGCTTTTCCACTGGGGAATAACTGGGGGTTAGAATATAGCCTTAAATGTGCACAAAAAGTGAAGGCTTAATTGAGGACCAGTATCCACTAGAAAGGCTTTGCCAGTATTGACAGACTCAAGTATCACTTTAAGGAAGGAAGTGGTGATTTTAACAAGAGTTACTCTATTGGTAAATTTGTACTGCTTCTTTAAAACAAGTAAGCTAACCTGGTCCTGGCCAAGGTTTTATCAATGTAACTGCATCTGGGATGGGTGTTTTGCTAGTGTAAAAAGTCATAACAAATCGCTTCCATGCCAAATCTTACTATTCTAACAAGACCAGCTTAGCAAAGTCATATCTAAGCCCTGGGAAATGGGGAGATGGAAAGTGCAGAAGAAATGCTGTGAAAAGACCAGAAACTATAACAAACTCTTACTATATTAAGCAGAGCCATTTTTCTGTGACTTCTGACATGAACTCGTTTCTATTTCTGATCTTCTGAAAACTGGGGCAGTTGCTGATTTGGGGTAAACTGGTCTAGCTCTGCTGAAAAGAGGATGCTGATTCTTTTTATTAGCTACAGACCTGGCACTGAACATATT